ATGTCATATGAAAACAATGATAACATCTCTCAGCATTTAATAACTTGGGTCTATCCAAAACCATTGTTTTGGTAACAATGTGTTCTCGTTATTGATAGCATCCTTGATCTAATAACAATGCTCATGTCAGGAAAAGAAGACATCATCAATACATGAGCTAGTCTTAGAGGCGTGACTAAGGATCATATTGGTGTTCATGTTTCCACACATGCATCGGGTTTTCTTCCGAATCTCATATTCGACAACCAATATAACTGTAGCACCGAAACATAAACTTAATTATGAACATGAAATAACATAATAACATTTTATTATTGTCTCTAGGACATATTTTCAACATCTCAGTCATATAATAAAGATAAAAGATGAAAGCCACGTAGACATGGACCTGACAAAACTGAAAAGATAACAGAACGCTAGCCTTTGCACAAAGGAGCACCAACCAAGAAAGAAAATTACAGTCAAGACCGAAGAATTCCCTGAGCTTGACTCCAACACCCGTCGATTGCCTCTGGCACCACCACAACAATCACCAAAGAAAAATGTGAATGGTCACCTCTTCATCCGAGTTTGACGCTGCTCCATTGTTGATACAACTTTTCAGACCATCAAAGTAGCTTACTAATGGCGAAACCATTGACGTTGAAAGAATGTAGACGGAGAAGCACCCTGGACATGCCATTAATCTCCAGATCTGGCACCCCTACTCAACTGAAAGCGTCGGAGGAGGAAACTATACCCGTCAGCCATCAACCACAAAACCCAGCACATGATCAACCACATTCTTGATGCCGCCGACGCAGACAACTATTTGCATCTGCTTCTGGACTACCTCCCAACAGTGGCCAGCGCTGGAGCAAACATTGACGCAACGACGGAACCCTAGGACACAGGTCCACCACAAGAATGTCGTCACCCCCACGCCATCCCCGTTTGAACAAACTAATTCCCAAATCCTTCACCGGCCATAGAGCAGAAAGCCTCATCAAGGACGATCTGGAGCTCCTTTATTCGACGCCGTTATCGGCGTTGCCAAAGGCAAAACATCGAACAGTCCAAAAACCTGAGCTACTAGGGCACTAAAATCAATAGCTACACGATCCGTGCGCGGGGATCCGATGACCCTCATGACTGACAAGAGTAAGATTGTCGGCGGAGGGGAGCCGCCAAAGGACGGCACAAGAAGAGAGGGCACCATCTAAACCCATGGATATGCACCAACTTTTCAAAAAATGCATTTTAAGCATGTTTTGAAATGTCAAAAAAAACAAAAGAAAACAACACCCATACATGTTCGGAAATGTGTGTATGCGGTACAATTTTATGAAAAAATGTCTTTTTGTTTTGCCTCAGCAAAAAACGCAAATTGCAGTGCTTCTAAATAGTGTCCCACGGCATATTTTTTTGTCGTTTTTGCACAGGCCATAAAAAAGTTATTTTTCCGTGAAACTTTATGCACGCACATAGAACACTCATGCAATTTTTTTCAGATTTTTTAAAATTTAGAAATGTGTTTTTTAAAATGGGTTTATCCGGATTCATCCATGCACTTCTCGGCACAAGAAATCTAACCTCTCCTCGCAAGATCACTTTTTTTCCTGGAAAGAAAGAAAACAAGCCAGATGACACGCTACTATAAAACTAAACACGAAGCATCACTTTTTTTGCAGGCAATAGTGAGAGCTTTATTCAAACAAAAGCATTCGCTGGATCGTCAGCCAGCAGGCTACTCACCAGGAAGCTAGGGGTCTCTTCCAGCCAACTTTCAGTCATACTCAGTGTGCAAGCACGCTTGGCACAGAGATGAGCTGGGTAGTTTGCTGACCGGATTACATGAAGAAAATCAACATAAGAAAAAGCAGTAGCTAGCTCTCCTATCTCATAAAACAACGGTGCCACAATCACGAAGGAGTTGTGACGATTCTTCCAGAGTTCCACGACCTCCAGACAATCGGTTTCGATGATCACCTCCTGAAATCCTCTGAGGTTCGCAAAGCGCACGCCTTCCCGTACAGACATGGCTTCAGCTATAAGGGGGTCCGTGACACCCACAAGGGGTTTGCTCCATGCTCCCAAGAGGCGACCAACTGATCGCGCCACCCCCCTGCTCCACCATTGCCGCCATCCAGATGAATTGCTGTGTCGGTGTTTATTTTGATGATCGTTCCATCAGGGGGCCGCCACCCATAACCTGGCAAGATTTTTAGGTCTGGCCGAAGTATATCCAAGATCGCTAGATCTTCTTTAATGCGTCTCACAGAAGTAGACGGGTCAAGTTTCTCCTGATCATGTGTGAGACGATTCCGAGAGTGCCAGATCGCCCACATCACTGTGACTATGATCGCTCGCTTCTTCTCTGAGAAAAGTTGGTCACATAAAATGTCATGAGACCAAGTGCTTGGGTGTAGCTTCGGTAGAGAGAAATCAAGTAACTGTTGAGCTTGCACCCAGAATTGCTTTGCATGCGAACAGTGAATGAGTGCGTGAGCTAAATCCTCATCCATGGCCATGCAGATTTTGCATCTTCCGAGCTCCTGAATATGGCGCTGCTTCAAGGTACATTCCACCGGAATAATGCCTCTCAAGACTCGCCAGTAGAAGTCCCGAACTTTAGGCATCACATTGAGTTTCCATAAGGCACGCCATAGCTCTGCGTTGTCAGTTGAAGACCCGATACCAGTCCCTTCTTCGAGAGCAAAACGCTCTTTTTTGTTCACTAGAGACCGGTACGCTGATTTGACTGTGTAGATGCCAGATTTTTCATGTGCCCATGCCATAAAATCATCACCACCCCCTGGCACAAAGGTATGTTCAGAATAGCTTGTGCATCGGGGCTGATAAACAGCTCATGTACTAACTCCGTCTTCCATGTCTAGTTGTCAGTGTCGATCAGCTCACTAACCAACTGAACAAAAGCATTTTGAGGTCTCAGCATGGGAGTCATAGATACTGTCGAAGGAATCCATCGGTCCTCCCATATGGATATGGTTGAACCGGTGCCCACGCGTTTGATAAGGCCAGCATCGAGGGCCTCTCGACCGGCAACGATGGCTCGCCAAGTAGCAGATGCGGCTTTTGGTACTGTGGCGAGCTGAAACTCACAATCTAGGAAGTAACAGCCCTTCAAAACCCGAGCGCATAGAGTGTTGAGGTTAGTCATAAAGCGCCATCCGTGCTTCCCCAAAAGAGCTAGGTTGAACATGCGGAGATCACGAAAGCCCATTCCACCTTTGCATTTCGGTGTAGCTAGTTTATCCCATGATATCCAATGCATAGACCGCCGATCAATGGAACTGCTCCAAAAGAACTTTGCCATACCTGATGTCAGAGTCTTACATACTTTCTTGATCAGGAGAAAACACGACATGCTGAAGGTAGGAATTGCTTGGATTACGGATTTTAGGAGCGCTTCTCTCGCAGCACAAGCTAGTAGTCGCTCCGACCACCCCTGCATGTGCGCGCGCGCTCTTTCAGCCATATAAACGAAAGTGTCACTGGTGATCCTGCCTGTTGCTGTGGGCAGGCCAAGATAGCGCTAGCCAAAAAACACGAAGCATCACTGTGGCCCCTAAGGCTGGTCATAGTGGGAGTAACATAGGTAGTAACATAGATGCCACATAAGCAAAAATGATGATGTGGCAAGTAGTTAATGAGGAGAGAGGCAAATAGAGTAACATAATATGTTACCATCACATAGCGGTTTCCAATGCATAATGAGTCTACAAAGTAATAAATGAAGGCAACTATGTTACCACACCTATGACACTACCCACTATGAAGGTAGTAACATAGACTAGTAACATATGTATGTTACTAGTCTAAGTTACTCCCCACTATGACCAGCCTAATCACTAAGGTGGTGGTGTACCACGAGTCAAACTGTGCCACGTGGTAAAAAATAGACACCTAATCTAGCCGTGTTTTTTTACGGGTATCTAGCCGTGTTTATCACTTTGTGAAATCACCGACTAAATTGCGCGCACCGGACAAGTCACCGTGAACGAATTTTACTCTTTTCTGTTGTTGAGAAAACCAATACGTACCTTTTGGCGTAGCGGCATTTCCACGCGGCGTCGCCTGCGGAGTCCCGAAGCTTCTCGACCCGCCGGCCCTACCTCTCTGCCCCGCAGCTACTTCAGCCGAAAACCTCGGAACATTTGTCCATCTTGATTGATTGATTTCTTCGATCGCCACCTGCCAGTTGAGTTCTCCGTCAGTTTCTCCCGTCTCCGCCGCGCTTGCCCCCGCCCGAATCTCTCGGCAGCTTTTCCCGTCGTTCTACAGGCGGTGGCAAGTTTTTTTCGCGATTAGAAATCCGCGGTTCGTCCTCCTTCCACCTCTGTTTTGTGCCGCAGGCACAGATAAAATTTGCACCTTTTGTGAATCGCGATGAGGGGCTGATTGTATCCAGCGTTTCTGTTCTGGAGTTCGTTTCATCTACGCCATGGAGCGTTACAGATACCGTGAAATCTTATTCTCGAGCAGAGAAAACCTTGGTAGTGCGTAGTGGCGTTCCAAGATTGGGCAAATTTCCCTCCGAATGGTGACCATTGAGATCGGTTTTGGCCTTTTGGGTATCATGCTCATGTGAGATTTGGATTAGGTTTTAACAAGGTGTTCTGTCCAACTGTCCAGAGTCTGTTGAACAATTCTGAAGTTTTTACTAGCACTAATTCCTGTAGTGAGAAGATAGACGACGGAAGCTGAGGTCGCACTCTGATTCTGATAGTTGTATTATCTATTCTGTAGTTAAATCGGCAAAATCTGGTAGACATATAATATTCTGGAAATACATGAGTATGAAATTTGTCTTCCTGCTTTCTTTCCTGTCAATTACTTAGGCGGCAATTTTATTTTCTTCTATTGCTATACCAGCTTGTGCTTCTAATGCTTATCTGCACCATTCTAGCTAGTAGTAGTATGTTTTGCATAAAAGAACATCTACATATTCATGTATAGGCTGTATGACCTTTATTTTATTTTATTTAACTGCAGAAACAATGGGCAGGCGCAACAGCTGCACCATTTATGTAGGCAATCTCCCTGGGGACATTCGTGAGAGGGAGGTTGAGGATCTCTTTTACAAGGTAAATATTCAATTTTGTGTAATAATTCTTGCACTAGCTTTTCTTGTGGCTTTGGCAATTATGTAAAGATAATTGGCTATAGCACAAACTGATGAAGTTCTTGACCATTTTTCAGTTTAACTTGTACATAGTAAGGAAACTAGTATGATATAGGTTGCACCTCATGTACATCGCATTGTAAGGAATTAAAACAGATTTATTCATGCCTTAATTTTATGTATCATTATGCAGTATGGCTGTATTGTCGATATTGACTTGAAGATTCCTCCAAGGCCTCCTGGTTACGCTTTTGTTGAGGTCAGTATTCTGTCATGGTCATGTAGAGGTTTATACTCAGAATTCATGATAGAAGCCTCATTGTTCTTATTTTGGCATTAAACTTACTCTCTTAACTAAGTTTTCATTTTTTATATAACTAATTATTGGATGCTAACAAAGAATGATCTTCTTTAGTTTGAGGATCCCCGTGATGCTGATGATGCAATTTATGGCCGTGATGGGTATGACTTTGACGGCTGCAGGCTGCGGGTATGCATGTACTGCGTGTTGCCTTTTTTGGTTCAAAGCAAAGACTGCTTTCTTGTGCCTGTTGTTTGAAAAGTTCATCTCTCAGGTGGAATTAGCTCATGGTGGAAGAGCTCAATCTTACTCGTATGATCGCCCAAGCAGCTTTAGCAATGGACGCCGTGGAGGTGTTTCTAGGCGCTCTGAGTTCCGAGGTTTGTACTTCTGTCTTGTTAATGAGTTGATTGATATGTCCGGATGGGAATTCTCATTTTTCTTTTCTTGTTGTGAGCCACACAGTTATGGTTGATGGTTTACCTTCGTCAGCGTCATGGCAAGATCTCAAGGTACAGGAATTGTGCACAACTTCTGTTTATACATTTTGAGTTTGGTGTCCATTGAGTTTGGTTGGCGATGTCTGTTCTTCTTTATTTACTTACATTGCTTAAGTTACTTATTCAGGACCATATGCGCCGGGCTGGCGATGTCTGTTTTTCTGATGTATACCGCGAGGGCGGAGGTTAGTGACAATGCTTCCAATTATATCGACATTATAGCAGTGTGCGCACTAGAAATTTGAGGAGCTAATTGCTCGGCTCAGCTGCCTGAATTGTAATTGCACTGTCCTTTGGAAATCAGAATCACGGTTTAGCATGATGCATTCCCTATTGATGACAATTGTATTTTGTTTGTGTTGCAGCAACCGTTGGAGTTGTGGATTATACAAACTACGATGACATGAAATATGCGGTAGGTTGTCATATCATCTCTACACTCCGCTTTTTTTTAGTGATAAAGTTCTTGTGAAACTATTCTCTATCATCGATTGCTGTTGGAGAGGATCTGCTAAGAGGGCACCTTGGGGATGTGTGGTTTGTTCTTGTTTTAGTTGGTATATACCTCTCTTATCACTGCAATTTTGCAGATTAGGAAGCTCGATGATACAGAGTTCAGAAATGCATTTTCAAGGGCATATATCAGGGTATGGGTTTACTTCTTTTTCACTGATAGTTCAACAGTAGTTAAGATGGCATCTGCATGTCCATTTGATTTTACACTAGCATGAATCTGTTGTTATTTTATTATAGGTGAGGCAGTATGATGCTAGATCAAGAAGCAGGAGCCGTAGCCTCTCTTACTCAAGAAGTCGCAGCTATAGCAGGTATCTTAAATTTCTTTCATTCGTATTTACACCAAGTTTCATGACAAGTACTGATATTTGAGTGCATTGTTCCTTAGATCTGTCTCTCGATCACCCTTACCTGTGGATGAAAGGTTTGTCATTCTGTATATATAAATAGCTGCAAGTTTTTCTGTTAGTAGTACCAGTGATTTCGCTTTTGGAAGAAATAGGAACAAATTTGATCTTGATATACAACGTGATACACCTGAAAGGATCGAATTACTTGAACTCCGTTTTTGCATGCATGTCATTTCTTTGGTTACAAAAACAGAAATAGGTCTTCGAATGGTTGTTTTGATGTACTACCTCTGTTTCTAAATATAAGATGTTTTGGCAGTTTAAATTGAAATGCCAAAACGACTTATATTTGGGAACAGAGAGGGTATCTCTGCTTCTCCTCAAGATTATATAGCTAGTTTGTTTAAATCTTGTAGAGAATCTATCTCTTTTCACTGTTAGCTCGGACTCCATCGTTTTTCTATGTTCCAATGAATGATGAAACATGCAGAGCTGGCTAGTTAACCTTGCGGCATTTAAGGTTTTCTTTTGTTTTTCCTAGATCTGGCCATGCGGCGATCTGGGGACTGCTTCCATAGAAAATTGGATGCGTTGAGTTCAGCATGATGGTTTGGAACTATGGATAGTAGAGCTGGATTATCAGCATGTATGGCCAGTGAGCAACAAGTCCTAGCAGCAAGATGGTCCTGATAGTAAGGATATGTGGAGTGGGTCTTGTGGTATTCTTTAAATGATATTAATTCTTGGCTTAAATTTCATATAATCACTAAAAGGCCCTTGTTTTCATTAAACTTTAAGTTTTGAGTTAGTTAATCTTGCATTCTACTGTAGAGAAGATGAATGGGAAATGTTGTTTGTCAATCATTTTCTGGGGCAAGTTTGCTAAGAGGTTGGCATTTTTTTTTTGCGGGAGCTAAGAGGTTAGCATTAACAACTGGATAGAGAAGGATGAAGGGCAAATGGTTTTATGGGGCAAGTGTACATGCAAAGAGGTTGGCATGACAAATGCGGATGTATGTCTTGGTTACTTTCTATGTTCAGTTTCATATTCAGTAGTCACATCTGATGATAGGTATAAAGAGCCAAATGCATAAATATGCACTGTGATATCGCTCTCGTATAATCTACTTAGCCTGTTATATTCCATAGAGGATGGGTATGGTTGTCAGGTTGGTTTTGGTGTTAATTTTGGATTACACAACACTTCTGAGTAATGAACTTGGTTTCTGAAACATTTTGCAGGTCACTGTCAAGATCTCGGTCTCCTGTTTCTTCGGTAAATCTCGACAATCTGTTGGCAGAATCTTTACTCGAGCCACTTGTTCGAAGAAGCTAATGGAACTCTTTTGCAGGTTTCTGGAAAATCCGTGAGCAGAAGCCCTCGGAGCAGGAGCTTATCCCGCTCTGCATCTCCTGTAATACAGAGCACTCTCTCGCCTCTTTCTGAGAAATCGCTTATGATTAGCTTGTGCTAATATGGTGTCTGTTCTGGCAGGTGAGGTCGGATTGATCTTGGGCGCACCTGGAAGCAGTGAGTGACTACTTCAGGATCGCAGTTTGCGTCGTAGGTGGTTGCATATGCTTTATCATGTTCTGCACAACGCTATGTTTGCGAGACTGGAGCATTGCGCTTATCATGATGCCTGCCTGTCTACTTGTTATGTGCTATGTTCTCAGATTTAGAGTTGTATATTCAGAGGAGACCTGTACCTTTTCTTGAATGACTTGGAGATTGATCTGCAGTTTGTGGTAACTTGAATTCAGAGGAGACCTGCACTTGTGGCAATGTGTTATGTTGTCACATTATGTTTTTCCGTAACTCTTATGTTTGTAATAAGCACGGCTGGCATAGCCGCATTATGTTTTTCAACCCCAGGTGGTTGTCATCGAGGCCTGGGGCCGATCTCGAGCTCGTTGCCATGCCGTGCACCCATTCCACTGGTGTCAGAGGTGCTGCTATGGTCGCCAACCCTGGCCGCCGAGTGCCCACATACGTAGGCGATCGAGGTTGTCTCTTCGTGCGATCTTCGGTGGGATGGGCTCTTGTTGGTGCATTGTTTTTGACTGACCAACTCCCTCTGAACCGACAGACTGATATGCTCGTATTTCAGCTAAGAGCACAAATTTTTTGTTGGAAAGAATTCCTGAGCCATAGCCATACAGAGCAAGCAAATGGCAAGGTGAAAGCTAGCCTATGTCCCGATTATTACATCGTTGACATTGCCATACTACATTGCTTGCACGGGTTGCTGTCTTGTTTCCATTTCTTCTGTGAGCTTGCTCTGCATCAGCATCAGTTTCTTTGCACGCGGGCTGGGATTGGAAAAGCGGTTGAATGACAAGACAGACAGCCCACGACGGCACCACCCCACCAAGGGGTTATCATCATAAAATAACGCTGATCGGAAGAAATTTTAAAACAACTGCAGATGTTTTAGCAACACCGAAAAATAATGTTATCAGCGCGTCTAGACAGAACACGCGGATGTGCCGTGCCTGTGATGGGTTGTAGGGCACGTTTCTGCTCTAGCCCTCTAGTCTAGCCCTATAACCAGTGCATGCACCCGTCGGTAGTATAGTTTTATTCTATCTTGATAGTTTTTTAAGTTCCAAGTAGGTTGATGTGCATTGTAGGCTTTGTAGCCGTATGCTCGTCGAGTTCACAAGGCATTTTGGATGTTAGGCTTGGAGTACCACTTGTCTTGTGTTAGCTTAACAAAGCGAGCGTGGCTTGCAAAACAAAGTTTGCGCCGACAAAAACGAACGCGGCAGAGGTAGCAAGCTTAGCTTTTAAAGAGAGACTACTGCACTGCACATGAGTGGCAAGCCGGAAGCACCCAGACATGACGAGCCTACATTGCTTGCACTGCACTGTGATCAAAAGCACGGGCACTAATAGGCAGCAGGAACACTTACACAACTAGACAAGAGGCGCAGTACAAACTGTGACGGTGCGGTGCGACAACGTACACGTAGGCCCTATACGGCTGGCTGGCTGGCTCACTTGTCGGCCTTAACTCCCTTCACGAGGAAAATATGACGCCCAGCCAGGAGAAGAGAACCCTAACCCTGCGCTGTGCCTGTGATCAATGGGTTCCTGTGATTCCACTGTGGAGTGTGGGCCGTACCTCGGCTCAGATGATTAAGGTTGTCACGTACGTGCTTTACGCTGTTGCTCGCCCCCTCTTGCCATCATCGGTCGCTGATACACTGTTGGAGATCACTGATGGCATAGTACGTACTAGCAGTACGCACACTGTAACGTAATAGGTGAGCGACGGTACACATGTCCATGGTGCTTCCGGTGAGATGCATCTGGCAGGCAGAGAGAGCATAGGCTCCACCCCAAAGTCTACGCTTAATACAGGAGTATGTGTATGTAGCTGTCCAGTGCTTGAATGTTGAATCTCGTCGTCCCAAAGCTGAGCTTATGGCGATGGTTACAAGTCAAGTCAGAGCATGCGTGCTTCAGCCAACGAGACGACTTTGACAGACCGGCCTGGAAACCAGCCGAGCTCAGCTCCTCTGGTCAAAATACAGGGAAACAGCGACGCATTGTTTAGGAAGCTTTATGACACAAGTGATTCGCGAACCGATCCACGCAACAGAAAAGGCGCCTAGCTTCCCGTTAACTAGTGGCCGCTGCCTGCTGATACCAGCGTCAGCGTGGGCAGATTTATAAGACCCCATTAGCTCGTCCGTGATCAGTGTTCACACCTGTGAAAAATAATCTTCACATGCGTGCAGGTAGAGATGAGATGATACAACAAAAACAAATGGCGCGGCAGGGCTGCAGGGGGCTCCTCCCCTCCAACCCCAACCACCCGCACCCGGTCAAAAGGCCTTGGTGTCCTAAACAAACCAAATCGCGGGCGGGCTAAATATGCGCCTAATGATACCGTCTACCGACGATGGCGGAAAGAGCCCACGTTTTCTATCTCGTTCTTCCGGCCAGCCGGCCAGCCTTCACATGCGTTGATCGCCCTACCACTTTAGCTTACATATATTGGTGTATTTGTACTGCACGCTTAACCACTGCCACGTCAGCGCCCCTGCCTGCAGCTGGGTCGATTTGTTACCAAGCAAAACGCTCAGGTGGATCGCGTGGATGTGAATGTGATGTGAAACCGAAGCTTGCAAGTGTGAGCGACGTCCTGCCGCATGTGTTTATCGAGCATGCATGCGATGCGATGCGAGCACCGGGCCGAGTGAAAGCTAGCCACACACACATAGCTGGATTAGTTAACTGAAGATTACAAAAAGATGTGTTAGGAATATCGCGTGCCTTTTGTTTTCTGGGGAGGGCGTGCAGTGCAGACGAGGAGTACATACGCGCCTTTTCCCGCCCGATCTAAACCTCCACCCGTCCACGACGGCGTGATCATAGCATCATTTTGCAGCGATACTACTATATTCACCATTTGCAACGTACGTTTGGCTCCATCTGCAGCTGAGCTGGAGGAAACCCTTGTCGACGCGCCGTGACAAAAGAAGAAGAAGAGAGACTCAGCCGGATCGTCTCGTCTCGTCGTGCTTAATTAAGCGGCAGTGGTAGTACAACGAGAGTCACGGAAAGACACGGCATATGCATGGCCATGGCCGTGGGCACTGTGAGATAAGGACGGGTACGTGGTGCCAGATTTTTATTACGGAGTACTTTTTGTTTACGTGTACTCCGCACTAGTAGTGGTACTACTATACAATAGGAGTAGAGTAACTTTTTTTGTTGTTGCATGGTAGCAGTACCAGTATATACTAATACCATTGGACAATTTTCTGGCTTCTAAGACATCTTTTGGTTCATAAGATAAGATTATTATAAGAATAAAAATCTTGTAGGAAATGAGATGACATGTATCTTAAATCCTATGAATAGGAATATAAAACAAGATGTCATTTGGTTGACACCAAAAGAATTTTTCCATTGAGTCTAGACTCTTTTTTATTTTCCTATGAAATGTGGAGGATAGGAACCAATCATATGTAGGAATAGAAATCCATTCCTATGAATCAAAGGGTTCTAAAGGAAAAAATCCTATAAGAATTCTATCCTTCAGAATTCCTATGAAATTTCTCTAAACCAGAGGAGGCCTAAACTGTAGAATGATATTTACCCCTACTGTTATTTATTTTTTGTTTTGAAGGAAAACTCGCGCTTCCGTGGATGGATGGATATAGAAAGGCCAACGGAAGGCAGCTTATCACCTGATGATGTTGTCGGTTGCTTCACTGCCCGTCGGCGCTCCCGCCAAGAGAAAGAGAAAGAATCCGTCAGCGCACAAGAAAATCGAGGTGCTCCATCAGCGGCGCCTAATTATCCCTTTCACTTCCGTCCAAATCATGCAGCTGCCTCTACACCTCACCCCTTCCAGCAGTTTCCGTTTCCTCGCCTCTCTCTCTCTCACGTACAGATGTATAATGACGTGTAAACACGTGCATCGGTGCTAAATGCAATTGTTTATCATGCGAGCTATGCTACTTGAGATAATGAGCTCAGCAGAGAACGCACCGATTATTTCCTTTGTAACTATTACGAGAAAAAAATGCCAGTGTGTATACTCGGGTAAATTTTAACGAGGGGGAGATGGAGCGAGGTAGAAGTTGATGAGACCACCAGCCACCTGCACAAGTAGTTTAGCACATAGGCCAGATAGATTAGATAGATAGATATAGACAAGCTAAGACAAACAAGTGGCTTTGGAGGGGACAGCTAAGTTATCTTGTTTTCTCATCGGCCTGGCCCTTATCTGGAACACAACACAATTGGCAAAAAACCAACAGCCAAATCGCAGATAGAATCTCGCCCCCCCATCCCACCCCATCCCTGCTACAAAAAACGACCTAAAAGACAAGAGGCCCATGCGCGCGTCTCTGCATTATTCGAGCAGTGCATAGAAAAATACTCCAAGATATAGAGAGAGATAAGCCCTAGAGACGGAGAGAGAAAGAAACAAGAGCAGGAGGCGGAAATGAATTGGAAGGAAAGCAGCGGGCAATTGTCAGCGGTGAGCACGAGACAGGCCAGCAGCTGCAAATTGTTTCAGAGCAGGGGCCAGGGGGGAATGCACTTGGCTGGCCTGGTCCACACTTCATGTGAAGGCCACGCCCCTCCCCTCATCCCACACCTGCCCACCTGCCTTCTTTGGAGCCCCATACTGGAGGCTGGCCCGGCCCCTCCGTGGCCAGCATACATGCAACTTGGCGGCCGCCATCCTTGACACTATGCAAAAGAAAGAAATAAAAAATCCTGGACACTGTTTATAAACAGTTTTTGTTGGTTCAGTACAGGGAGAGAATGGCAATATGGCATCAGCTGCAATCTGCAATGCTTCGTTGGGTTCTAAGGGCATCTTTAACACGGACCCTCAAGC